TTCTTCCAGCCTTGCCCGGCACGTGCAAAGAGAGCACAGAAAGGAAGTCGATGGGCAGGCATACGCAATACGTGACCCAGCCATCGGAGGCGGTGTAGAGCGATTACTTCTGTTAGAGGGCGACTATCTGCACCAAACACACGACGACGGACCTCGTCATTGCTCACCCGGTGTTCCCACCAGACACGAGCAATGCTTCGAAAACATCGGTGGTCAAACACAGAAACTCGATTAGCATCTTCAAGCGAAACGCGAATCGAAAATTTAGGGTGCTCCGTTTGGTTGTTCATTCTGAGTGCAAATCCATCGATCCAAATAGGAATTAAACTTGCTGCCTCAAAGGTGTCAGAACGCAAGTATACTGCACACTTGAACACTTCGTTTATACACGATATAACACAACCCATCTCAGCAAAGTGGTTACTGACATCACTACCAAAATCCTCATAAATTCGCCCGCCATTCCCTTGTAACAAAAATAACTTGCTTTTTCAAAATTTCAAACTACCTCTCTCTGTAATCTGTAATGAAATGTTTAGTTGATCTTTTGCCTGGTTCTTTCAAAATACATATTGCACTACTGTAAGTTATCACTGCCCTGATAGGTCGCTGTTGAACCACAGTGAACGGGGAAAGACTAATCAGTCACCTCTCGATGGAAAATCTTCCATAGTAGATTTTTACTGGGCCAGGGTGTGCTCGATCTAGAAATGAGCTATCTCAACCGACTAGTGTTAGAGACATTTCATGGTATGGATGATAAATGTTGCGTATAAATCCACCTTTCCATTACGTTTAGAATTTATTTTCCGTTGGATATTGTTGTCCCCATAATAACTCCTCACTCTTCTGCACATTGTTCTCTTCCTTCGGTTACAGTCCTTTGGTTAAACGTAGGGTAGCAATTAAAATCGTCCCACGGGGTTGTTCATAATATAACTGAAAATACACTAATGGCGTTTTCAATTATTGAAAAGGTTTGAGATGACTACGTTTATCACTCAGTTAGGCAGAACACACCACATGTGGTGATTTTCTATATCGCGAGAGTTTCACAAGTTTGTGAGTAGAGGTTTTGAAATCAAGTTCGATAAAGCGCATATCTATAGTTGTTGTTTAGTGTTACTCCAGTTTTAAATGGACTCGCTTATCGCTTTATTGAATTTCTAATCATTGATATTTTCGAGTCCTCGTTTCGTTAGCTGCACGTCTATTCCTTCTGATCCGGTAGTTGGATGAGTGATCCGGTGATCCATACGGATCAAAGAATCTTGGTCCAGGTGTTAAATCACAACTCTCATACCAAACAGTTTGAGCGAGTTGCTTTTTTTAGTTCCGTGACAATTATTTTTCCCATTTCGAATATTTCATCACTGCGTCCAACCCCAGTGGCTCTGTCCGATATCATTTTATCTCGAATTGCTTGTGTTTGTTTCCTAATTATTGAAATAGTAATTAATTTTCCGATGTACTCTCTCTCTCTCCTTATGCTTATCATTAATGAAACCCAGTTTGACGAACTGCGCGGATCGCTTTCCACATAACCATGTATACCAGTTAAGTATGAATTTTTAAATTGCGTAATAAGTGAGCTGGCTTGTGGCACAGGAATAGAGTGTAAACTACTCTGGTCGACAAGCAGTAGATAAAGTTTTGTGTAGGATACACACCACCCATAAATCGGAGGTGGCATAAAGTATGTGTGTGATGGAGGGGGGGGGGGTGTTGACTTCAGATCGGTGCCATACTAAAGAGAAGTTTTGCCCTTAACTTATCATTCTTTCTGATCCGTACTGTATCTTCACGTGGCTGTTCACGCTGAGAAACAGTTACTGCTGCCTTCGATTTCATTGCGCGTAAAACCAAGACATCTATTCGTTTGAGTGTCAGGTCTTAGATCTGAAAACCGACTACCAACACGCGTGTAAACTATACCTGATTATCGTTGGTGGAATGAATACTTCCGTTTCTTGTTTCCGGTCCTTCCTCTCTGTCAAAGATACAGTCCTCGAGGGTCTGTCCAATCCCCATACAGAGACACTAAGGACAACGGGGCTTCACAACTGGGATTCCTGAAACTGCAATTTGACTGTTAACTGTTGCGCAAAGAAAATCAACAGTACTGTCCTATTTTTCTCATATGCACTTTCAGTACGGATTTTTTCGTTAGCCTGATTTGGTGGCTTCCAGTAAGAAGACCGTTTCAATAAGTGGTTGTTTGGTGGGCATGGCTTTTTGTGCACGCATGCGGTGGTGGTCAGTTTGGGTGACAGCCATTAGTTTGTGGTTTGAGGGTTTTACCAACTAACGTCTGTTCAACCAGGGTGATATGCGATGCACGAACTCCACAAAGGTTATCGGTTATAGATTGTATTCCACTTATTGTTCTGAATGTTTGGGAATTGAAACGAGTGTGTTGTTGATCATTGCATGCAGCAGGTTCCCGGATGTAAGATTTTCTTTAGTCCATTCTTTTCTTTATTTTCATTTGAATTTTCCACATGCTCGCCATCCTACTTGTGTTCTGTCGGGTTCGTAAATACCCGCGTGGTGCACAACAACAACCATTGAATAATCAGTCACTGTTTGATTTCGAAGTGCCATAGTTGCGTGTATATTCACTTCGCACATTTCTGCTCCAACCCACATGCACGCTTTGGTGAGGTTAATATGCTCCTGGAAAAGCGGTTGATCTCTCTCGTAGCAGATGGACCAAGCTAGTCTAAGTTGCCCACATTCGTGTTGTGAGACAAGGGTGTATCAGATCGATTATCACTTTGCATCCACTCGCTCGGGGGCATCCCGATGTCACCACAGAGTTATGTACACTTTGATCAATAAACATAGAGCGTGTGTGTGTGTGTGTGTGCTTTTTCAAGTAAAACACTCATGATTTTTTGATAGCTGTGCGAAATCTCAACGAAGATTTCGTATTCGAACGTGACTGTTCAGTACGGAAATGGTCAACTTTTATGCCACGAGAGTCGAATATTTTGCTGAAGTCAAAAGAAACCAGTGGCTTGACCATTGCACTGATCTGTATCAGGTTTGATTCCCTTTCGGTCTCTGCGGTAAAAGTGATTTGAAACCTGGCATTTTTTCACGTATGAGCTTATTACGATTAGCATGATGTCTGTGGTCTTTCATACTTTTGTTATCAAAATCCACGTCCATTTCAATTGTATTTCTTTTCAGTTGATGCAACATTAAGACATAAGATAAGAACCGCACAGCTGTTCTTAAAAGGCTTTTCCACGCCGGCGGGAAAGCTTTTTTCACTTGGTTACCGCCATGGCATTCGTGTAACTTGCCTTCAGTTTTTCTTCCAGTTTGTGTTTAACGTTATTAATGGAAACCGAATGTTGTATTTGAACCACCATTTTAGCGTTGAATATATTTCTGTTTGATGCGCCTGTCTCTTGCGGTTGTGGTCAATCGATGTAGACCGCGGTAACTGGCTTGATCCGGACCCCACATTCAGAGTTTCAAACCTTGCCGTCGCGATGTTTTTCATTGAAACTCGTATTTATTTGTCAATGTGTTTTTAGGTTTGTATACATAAACCTAAGGGTAAATGTGTCATCTACGTATTGCCTCATGTTTCTTGTACTTTCTGGTTCCCCTAATCATACAGATTCTTCACCCAATCCAGAAACTGGTCCAATTAGCTATATGTCGTTGGTTGCCAGCTTGACTGAACAGCCATGGGTTTCTTGTGATCATAACCAACGACACCAACCACGCTGTAATCCATGGCTACTGCTCAATGCACAACCAAGCTCGACTTGGACAGAGACGACACAGGTGACGGTGGACTTGATCTTGGGCACAACTGGTGATTGCACCAATATAGGTAGTGGCGGCGGTGGAAGCAGCAGCAGCGGTACCGGTAGTGGTGTTGCCACCACCATAAATTCCAGTACTCTTTTGTGTTCGACGGAAAAGAACTCCTCGACATCATACAAATCCCGTTCGGATCGCTGTCGCCAGTCTAAATGTGATTTATGTCATCTGGCCGCAGCCGTACACGGTACCACACAGTACGTGGATCAATTGGCTGTGTGTAATCTGGGTTTTGGTCCGGTCGATTTAGACGATTTGGTGCGCAAATTGCATCGATACGGATTACTTGATCATCTGCGACCCGCCTATTTGTTGAACTCTATTCCACTGGGATTGGCTGCTCTTATCCTCCAGTATCAGTTGGGCACTGCAGCCGGAGCTTTTTCGAGTCCTTTGTGCAAACAACGCCTCGCTTCTAGTTTGTCATTTGGTTTGAATCATGCAGGTACTCCCGGCTCAGATACCCAATCATCGTGGTCAATGGATGGTGGAAATGTGCCTTCGAAGAAGTCGACACGTTTTACTCGTTGGTTTCCACTACTGACAACAAGTATGCGCCTTTTAAAGCCTAATTCGAGTCAAGGAAATCACGGTGTGCACAAGGTAAATTGCGCTATGTATGAATAGGTATATTTTTCTGCTTCTCTGTAGACCATTGAATGGTTATCATTAGTTGTTAGGTCGTCTTGTCAAACTGTAATGATGTATGCGCCTATTTTTGTACTCTTTCGCGTTGTTTGTATATTCATGTGCTTATGGTACTTTGTGCCAAAGTGAAGCTATTACAAGGTTGTTGGTCTTTTCATTCTGATTCCCTTATCTGAGGTTACTTACTCACATGGATCCCGTTAGACTCCCTGGATGGGAACCCCGAGGTCATGGTAACCGGTGGTTAGGGACTGTGATATAGCTGAGTATCGCAAACAGTGACACTCTTGCATCTGCTCATTATCCTTGCAACCTTAGTCCATGTGAATTCTCTATCTTCTCTTTGACTGTGCTCGCAACATTCCAATCTTCCTCCTGTTCTGTTCTCCAAATGGGCGATCACGAGGCAGCGACCAAAACCGGCACACGAAAGTGCATGGTTAGTGGTTGTAAAAAGTGAAAACCGTTGTACTATCGCAGCAACGTTGAAGTCGTAGATTTGAATCTCGCCGTTACCATCAGCTTTTTCGATGTCGTTCGATCTCAAGCAGTCTCTAAACGAAATGCAAGTAAACTGGTTAGTGGTATTGTTTATAATATCGAGGTCGCCGTCACTCCTAACCTATTCAGTTTTAACGGGGCACTAGGGGAATTTCATTTAAACCATTGTCACCTTTGACAGAATTAATGCCTTAAATGATCAAAATATTGTCTGATTTAAACGGGCAATCAAATATCTGACCTTCAGAAATGAACGAGCTTTAAATTTATTCCCATAAAAAGTACTTTGGAATATAGCACCTCCGAAAAGTAGCATATTCAAAAGTATTTCAATTACCAGTTGGCAGCCATCGATCTTCCGTCTTTGATGATGGAATTGAGAACGTTGCATCTGATCGTTTGATATCATATCCAGTTAATTGAACGACTTTCATATTTCACCAATTGGTGGCTTCTATAAATACATAGAATGGTTAGATTGGGAGCCTATTCTGTTGACGGTTTAAGTGCCCAGTTTTATGGTTCAGAATATGGTAAAGGTTATTCATCACTCAGCGCTCTGAGATTTGAGCGATATTAACTGAAACAAATTAACAGAAAGCTGTGTGCTGAAGTCAAATAAGAAAGAGGTGTACAATGGCATATCAAAAGTTTATACTTTCAGTTTCAACAACATTTAACTACGCACTTTGGTGCACGTGTTTTGCTTGCTACTTTTCGGTTACCCATTTGAATGAACGAGCAAATAACTAATTGGTGTTTTGGCAGTAGTTTCAACGAGAAGTTAGAGAATTCCGGTAGACTAAGGTTGCAAAGAAATTGAAATGCACGAGCACCCTTATTTCCGTCACTCAATCATATCGCTCAGTGTCGCTAACCATCGATTAAGTTGATCCTGCGGTCCACAACTGGGAGTTCTAACGTGATCTTTACGTCCAAGTCTGTTTAGGGTCTGGATACCGTCATACCAGGTCTTATGTTGACCACCTTTGACCTTGCACCCACCCCCTGCCTCAGCAAAAACCACGTGCTCTAACGTTCTACTTGGTGAAATTCGTGACTGATGTCCTAGTCATCTTAGTCCATAGTGGTCTAGCACTTACTCCAGTGTGCGACCACGAATACCTAAAAGTCTGCACCTGAGCTCGACGTTTCTTGAGCGGTTCCTCACCGGGCCCGAGCATTGCGGCTTAAACAGTGCTATTTGAACACCGATAATCTGTCTTTATTCTGAACCCGTTATCAAGAGATCGTTGCATCATGTATGAAAACTACCGGAACAGCTACACCATACAGTTGACTGCTCACATACAACCTAACGGTGCCATGTATATCCAAAGTTGGCGAATCCGTTACGAGACTTATGGATGCATCCTGACACTTCATCCGTGATGCGTCCACCAAGCGAAATGTAGCTGCTTAGGTACCGAATTTCCTCAAATGTAATGTGGTCGGGAGTTGAGTCAACACTATTCGGTAGCAATACTTTACACATAGACCAAACCTGAAAGGTATGCTGCACCAACCGAAGCCGAAGCTGACGCCATATCACGGTCTGATCACCGCAACGCTCCTTCCAGCCTTGCCCAACACGTGTAAAGAGAGCGCGATAAAGTATACAGTCAGTAGACATATGCCAAACGTGACCAAACCATCGGAGGCAGCGTAGAGCGATTACTTCTGCTAGTCGGTGACTATCCACAAACAACGCACGAAGACGAACCTCGTCACTGTTCATCCAATGCTTCCACTAGGCGAGGGCAATGTCTCGGAGAAATCGGTGGTCGATTGCAGTAAGTCTGTTGACATCCTCAATGCGGAGAGGCCAGATCTCACAACCGTAAAGCAGAATGCTACCGACCGCGGCGATGTATACCCTTCCTATAAAGGACAGTCGGACGTAATGACGGCGCTACAGGTATTGCAGATTGACGAAGGCTGCTCTAGCTTTCGCTGTCCGTGATGTGATTTCCGCAACACCACCAATAACACCTGCGGTTCAGCCCCCGAGATACTTAAAGCTCTCAACCATTTGATCACCACAGAAGGTGAGTGCAGGCCCATCCTCCTGTCAGTCTTGAGCAAGCCCTTGGCACTTGGATTGTACAAACCACATGCCACTATTGATCGCCAAGCGGTTCGAAGCCTGTTGGACTGTCTGTATTGTCACCCAGCAAGGCAATGTCATCGGCATTCTCTGTGTCATAAACTCCATTACGTGGGAGGCATTCGACTCCACCATTTGCTAAATCGGACAAAGCATTCTGTAAAACGCGCTCTAGGGCAAAGTCTAAGGGGAATTGGGGATATAGGATAACCTTGTCACATTCCACTGGTGACTGCCAAGGGTTGTGAAAGCTGACCATAGGCTCTGGCTTGATCTGAGGTGTGACGATACAGCTGTTTGAGGATCGACACGTCTATCAGATATTCCATTTTTCAACAAACAGTTCCAAAATACGGTCCTATCGACAGAGTCTGAAGCCGCACAAATGTTTGAGAACACAATGATCGTTGGTATTTGATAGGCATGACGGCGCTTTAACAGCTGTCGGAGGGTGAAAATTTGTTTGATGCGTGCACGACCAGCACGAAACCCAGTCTGCTTCTCGCGGGTCTGCTCCTCACGCATATTGTGCAATCGGGAGAAAATGACGGACGCCAACAGGTTGAAACTATTGGGTATCGTTCATACCCTTATGATTGACCGAGTCACTGCGCGATTCTCCTTAAGGATGGAGACAGCAATAGACTAGGGGACCTTTTCAGTGTGTAAAGCT